GCAGGCCGCGTCGGGCGCTGGGCTCTGCCCACGGAGGGGAGGGCGGCCCGCTGCTTCTCTGCTCATCACGGCCTGGTCCCTGTGAGCAGCTTTGCTAGCGGCTGTTGTAAGCGCTAAGAAAATATTCTAATTTTCACCTCGCAGGAAGAATGGAATTGGATATTTGGGATGGAGCTCGGGGAACCCTGGGACGGAAACAGTTTTCCGCCCTGATCCGAGTGGGCCTTGTTTTTCTCCATCTGACGGTCTTGCTTTCCTGCCACCACTGCTGTTCTCAGTGTGTCCTCGGCTCTGGCCGGGAAGGTTCTTTTCCAGGAGGAAGCTGAACGTGGCACCTGAGGTGCTTCGGTGGTGGACTGTGATGGAGTTTGAGTCCTGTGGCCAGAGGCCCCGCTGTCAACTGAAGTGCCTTCTGCTGGGGAGGCGAGAGGGTCCTGCAGGCCCTGTAGCCAGAGGGTGGTGGCCCGTCCGCCCCGTGACCCCGGCCGTCGTCGCCTGTACCGCCTGGGCCGCCTCCTCAGGTCTGGGGAATGTCCGGATTGCGGGCTGCTGACATTCCCGAGCCTGGCTGGAAGGCGCCCTCGGCCACCGTTAGCCCTTGGGCGGGTCGGTGCCAGACAGTTCCAGGGGCCGCAGAGAGCAGAGTCGTCCCCCGGGTGAGGCGGCTCGGGGCACGCGGAGACGGTTCTTTCGCTCCGCACGAGTCCGGCTTCCGCGCGCCGTCCTCCTCGTCTCTGTTTGAGCCGGCGCCTGGCTGACTCTGGGTTTGTCCTGTCCGTGTCGCACCCTGCGCTGAGCCGCATCTGATTCCGCTGGCGGGAGAGGCATGGCTCTGCTGCCAGTGTATTAAAGCCCCGAGCCCTCCAGCGGTCCGACGCGGCTTCCACCGTGCCAGTGCGGGCCGCCCGGGACCCCCCAGTCCCCGCTCGCCTGGCTACCGGTGTGCCGGCGCTGGACAGTCCTGTTAGAGGCCGGCGCGTGTCGGGAAGGAGATACATAAAACACACGTAGAGAGGCGAACTCGAGCCAGCTATTCTCGACAGGGCGGAGAGAGAGAAGGGCATTACATTAGTCCTTTATTGCTACGTGACAAATTATGTCAAAGCCGAGTGGCTCGAGGCAGCAAGCATGCATGATCCCCAGTTTCTGTGGGCCAGGGCTTTGGGATGGGCTCACCTGGCTGGTGTGGGCCCCGGGCCTCCCCTGGCTGTGGCCAGCATCCTACAGGGGCCGTAGTCATCTGAAGTCTGGCCCGGGGCTGGAGGAGCTGCTCCAGAGGGCCCCTCACAGGGCTGTGGCAGGAGCCCCCAGCTCCTCTGTGCTGCTCGGAGGGGCTGGAGCCCCCTACAGAGGCCGCACAGTGTCCTCTCAGGAAGGGGCAGGCAGGATGCCGGGGAGGCACAGCGCTTCCAGGACTGTGTCCCCACGGCTGGGCTCCCTCGCTTCCACTCTTTTCTGTCCCTTTGGAGCAGGTACCCGAGGCCTCCCACACCAAGGGGGCAAAGGGAGGAAGCAGGCTCTGCCCTTTGAAGGGAGTGTCAGGGAACGCGCACTCACCCTGGACCACCCCAAGCATTTTCCTGGGTGAGGAGATGCACGGGATTACACGCTCACAACTCAGGTGCGTTGCAGCCTGTCCTTGGGACAGGGAGCAGGGGTTTACGGGACACAAGGGTTCCTGCCCCCGTGCCGTTGTGAATGCACCCAGCTGTGTTACCTGCTCACTGTGGTAAAATTGCCTCTGCTGTATCCAGTAGCTAGTTTTTAGGGCATTAAATTATACCCTTTTGTCATGGAAGAGTTTATTCATTTTTGTAGAGAAGTGATATTCTTCTTTGTAGGCTCAGAGACTTCACTTTGTGTCCTCTGTTACAAATGGACGTGCTCACGGGAGAATACGGCGAGCAGAGGGGTGAAGCACAGCACCCCACGGTGACCCTCAGTTATGCACGGGGCGTTTGGTAACAAGAACTAGGCCCTAACCCGTTTCTCATGAACAGACTATGTGTGGACTTGGTGATGCTTTATCAGGCAATAGTGTCATGGTAAGACAGATTTTCAACAGGAAGTCAAGTTGCAAACTGTAGATTTAGAAAGAGACCTGAGTAGCGCACACATTTCCACTTACTGCTGCCCCGCCCAGCTGTCACCTTTGCAGCTGGTGACAGGCTTATAGGAAGTTTTCCCCACCCTCATGTCCTTCTGGGAGGAGAGGGTCCCTCCTGTATGACCTTGCTGACCTCTGCAGGTCATCTGTTCCTGAACTGCACACAGGGAGAGGGTGGAAGTTGTCGTATGTGCCCGTGTGTGCACGCTTGCCGTGCCGCACACTCGCATCCCCGCTGTGATTTTACTGGTGGCCTGGTGCCACCACGTGCCAACTTCACCGTGCTCGCACCACTAATTCGGGTGAGCCTGGGAGGGGCGAAGGGTAGAACGCTGTGGGATGGAGGCAGAGAAAAGGTGGCTTCTTGTATAGGTGGCCCTGTCACACAGTGAGAGAGAGAGCGAGCGAGCGAGAGCGAGCGAGCGTGCGCGTGTGAGCACACGCATGCGCGACAGCAAAAGCATCAGGGCTCAAGCTTGCTCAGTTTACCGGTTAGAAAAAGGGATGAAGAGAGAAGTGAAGACGAGGCTAGAATGAGAAGAGGTGGAACAGAGAGGAGGAAGGCGCAGGGAGAGCTCCGCTCGGTGCAGGGAGGCAGCGTGCGAAATGGGCGGGTCTTGGTCAGTTGCTCCAGTAGTCCCTGCGATGCTTCAGAACGCTGCAGAGACTTCCCATGAGAAGTGGCCACCAGGTGTCATCAGAAGGCTGCTACTGATTTGTTTTATTATTCTTAAAAAGAGTATGAGTATTTTGATTTCTTGCAACTTTTTTTTTCTTTTGAAACCATAGCAGAGACTACTTCAGTTAGAGAAGAAACTTTCCTTCGTGACGGATTCTTGGAGAGCTAATAGTTTAGAGGTAAAATCAAAGATGATACAGTGACGTGTAACTTATTTTTTTCAGTCAAGGCACTAGCTGAGAATCTGGATTCGAGCAGACACCACATGGAAGCCCGTGTTGCAAACTGTGTGGCAGAGTGAGGGTGTGTGCTGCCTGGTGGGTGACGGACATGTGCGGGCAGCATGCGGTTTAATCTCACACCTACCAGGTCATCTGAATGGTGACGCCTTACTGTGGGGAGACATCGGAGACCCATTTTCTATCTCCGGTGTGTCGGGTACCAGGACTTTCAGCACGAAAAGGGATTAGGCTCCTCGCGCGGAGGGGTGGCGAGTCTCCTGCCTGGTCTGTGGTTAGCTTTGTCGCTAAGAGGATTGCAGAGGCTTTCTGGAGCAGGGCGGGCTTTTACCGAGTGTTTGTTGAGTGAATGAATGAAATATGCCTCCAGAAAAATGAGCCCTTAAGCTGTCCCAGTTGAGTGGTTTTTGAATTCCACTTTTAAAAAGACCCCTCCTGCCATCTCTGTGGATCCTGTTGTACTCGTTCTAATACCCTTTCTGACTAAGCTTGTTCTTTTCAGGTTAATCAGCATAAACCCCCTCATTTCCCTTTAATCCCCTCCAGATCACTGGAAGGTACTGGTTAGGTCACTTGCTCTCCTGCTGGCTAGTTCTGAGCCTTGCGGCTTAAACACTGGAATGGTGCTTTCTGCCTCTGAGCTTCCTCCACCTGAGCTGCGTCCTGCATCCTGGGGACCAACCTCCCTGAGGCCATGCTGTTTTGGTGCTGGCCACTGACACTACTGACCAAATTCCAGCTCTTCTTTCGGAGCCTGTGTGTTGTGGTCCTGGCTGACCATCTGCCTGTGCGTTAACTTGCAGAGCTGTAGGAAGCCAGTGCTTAGCTGCCTTCGCCTGATGCCTTTCTTCTGCCTGCGATGTTTACCTGTTCCTACCCACTCCCTCAGTAGAAGCAAAAACAAGTTTTCATTCTTCAGGGTTTAGCTCAGATGACATTTCTGCTATTCTAGCCAAATATTCTACTTGGAAGTGTGAACCTTTGCTCATTTATTCTGCTTTAGCTCTTAGTTTATATCCCACACATGACCGTCATACGTGGCCTGGTAGCAGAGTTCCTTTGTGTGTGTGTGTCAGTGGCTCCTGATAGCAGATGAGTCTGATGAGGGCCAGGAGTGTGTCGGTGTCGTTCGAGTCCCTTTCGTATGGCAGGCATGCCGCAGGTATGTGTTGACTGTTGTTCTTTCTTGATACTGTGACATATTGAAGTGTTTCATTAATTTGAAAAATCAGTTGGGAAATAACAAGTGTAGAAACATTTCCTCCTTTTGTTTTAGAATTTTCGGAGCCATTAGATAGAAGATAATAAAGGGTGTCATTGTTTTGCTTGTGCATATAAATGTAGTTGTCATTCTTTTGTCTCCAAAAATATGAGTCAGGTGTCGTCATTAGAACTACCCCTCTGCGCAGACGTGCATGGGTCTTCCCTCAGTCAGTGTCTGCGTGCTCACCGCGTGCACCTCTGTCCACAGGAAGGTTGTGTCGCAGGTCATGTGCCAGAGCATGTTGGAAGAGTGCGAGATGGTTGGATTCATCATGGAGAAGGGAATTCACACCATTATGGACTAAGCATTAAAAAAATTTAAATTGTAACTTCGGTTATGGACATTGTCAAACACATGGGCAGACATGCAGAAGTTGATAGAACAGTGGGTCGAATCCGTATGTCACTGTCAGTCACTCAGCTTTAATCACTGTCACTCAGCTTTAATCACTGTCAGCACATACCCTTCACCGTGCCCTCTCCTGGACTGTTTTGAAAAGTATCTCAGACATTTTTCGTTTCTTTTCTAAATACTTAAGAGGAGACGTTTCTTGTATCACAATGAGGCATTCATTTATTTTAGAACCTTCTGTGTGCTTGGAATTATTCTGGGATTTTGGGATATAAGTGTGGATGAAATAAACCCTGCCTTTCCATTCTAGCATGGGGAAACCGAAAGTAAACTCGACAATTAATAACCAGAACAGGAAAAAATTTATTTCATGAAAATTTAAAACTTCTGCTGTCTACGGCCATGACCTCCTGAACAAGCTGGATCCCGTCTGATCTTGGAAGCTAAGCAGGGTAGGGGCTGGTTAGTGCTTGGATGGGAGACCACCTGGGAAGACCAGGTGCTGTAGGCGTAAAAAATAAAAAAATAAAGAGATCGTAAGATGACAAGGTCCTTGAAATCTGTGCGGTCAACCAAGGGTTGCCTTCCCTAAAACAAAACAAAACAAAAAAACAAAACCTTCTGCTTATCAAAAGACAACATTAATAAAACAAAAAAGGAGAAAATATTTGTAAACCATATATCTGACAAAGGATTTATTTCCAGAATACATAAGCAACTCCTCCAGCTCGATAATAAAATAGACAAACAACTGATTTAAGAAATGGACAGAGGGCAGACAAGCACCTCACGAAGCACATGACAGAGTGATGGGCACTGTAACTGGTCCTCAGGGAAACGCAGAGGGAAGTCGCACACGCCCAGTAGAATGACAAACATTTGAAAGACTTCAGATGTGGGGGAGGACCTGATCACTCAAAATTCTTGACATTGCCGGTGGCCGTGTAAAACAGTACAGCCACTTCGAAAATCAGTCAAGCGGTGTCTTAAGACGTTAAACAAACCCTCTAACCCAGCAATACCGCCCTTAGGTTTTTATACAAAAGAAATGAAAATATATGTTCATAAAAAGACTTGCACAGGAATATTCATAGCAACTTTACCGTAATAGCCAAAAAACACGGAAGCAGCTCAGGGTCCGACAGCGGGATCACGGTGCAGCCATAGGAGGCGTATGCCCAGCAGTGAGGGGGAGCAGCTGCTCATGCGGGCCACCAAACTGCTGAGCAGAAGGAGCCAGGTCCTCCTCCTCCCGTGTCGTCCGATCCCATTCGCATGACCTGGAACAGGCAGAACTAACCCATGTGGAAGAATTGAGAGCTTGCCTCAGGTAGGAGAGTTACCAGGGGCCGAGTGTGAGGGGGCAGGAGACCATTTTCTGGGAGGAGAGCAGTGTTCTCTGTCTCCATAGGGACACTCGTGAGGGACCTTCTGCAGACCTCTGGGCCTCTCCTCCTGGCATCTCCTGTCTTTCACCCCACAGACCCTGGCTGCCCTCAACTCTTGCTCTGTCCGGGATTGCCCTCCCTGTCCTGTGGCCTGATCCCTTTCTCCAGGTAGTAAGCTGGGACTTACCTGGTTTGGGTCTCATCTCTCAGAGGTCACTTACCTGTGGTGCCTGGTGTCCAGCGTCTTGTGCTGTTGTTTCATAGAGTTTGTCCGTTTATCTTTTTAGTTGTTTCGTGTATAACAATAAATTCAGTCCCTGTGACTCTTCCTGACCAGAAGGGCATTCCGGAATGGAGAATGTATTTATTTAAAAAAAAGTGTTGTCTCACCCTTTGCAGTGTGGGGCAGAGATTTTGTGTGGTTCTTTGCTGTAATTCCAGTGTCTAAAACCAAGAATGCTTGGCATGCAGTAGGTCCTAAGTGACAGTTTTGGAGCAGATACATGACTCATCCTTTCTTTCTCTCTTTCCTCCTTTTATACCCCCGTCACAAATGTTGAGTAGCAAAACCAGGGCTGTATGTAAAAGAACGTTTTCGAAGGGCCCTGTGGAGCGCCCGTCTCTTGAGTCTTGGTAAACAGAAGATTCCGTAATAAAGTTACTTCGGGAAAAGCTTGTATACTGAGGACTCTGGTAGAAAACAAGTTTTGTTCAAACCGGAGTTTTCTAGATTTATTTAACCAGGGTATTGCCTCCTCTTCCCAAACAAAACAAAACAAAATAAAACAAAAAAACACTTGTTAACCTCTTACATAATTTATAGTTTCTGGAACACATTCTGAAGAACACATTCTTATAAGCATAAGAAAACCACGTATGTTTATCTTTTTCATTCTTTAATAAGAGATACAATGTTACTGTAATACAGTAACATAAAAATTACATTTCTTTTTCTAGATTATATATGATTTACATATTTTAAGCAGCTTTATTGAGATATTCAAATACCTCGCAATTCACCCACTTAGACTATGATTTAATGGATTTAAGGATATTCACAAACAGGTGCAGCCATCACCACAATGAATTTGAGAACGTTCTCATCTCCTCAGAAAAAAACCCTGTCCCCTTTGGCTGTCACCCCCCACCTTCCACCCCACCCAAGGGACCAGTAATCTACTCTCTGTCTCCATGGATTTGCCTATTCTGGACATCGCCTACAGGAGGAATCATATAGTATGTGGTCCTTCATAACTGGCTTTTTTCACGTAGCATGATGTTTTCGAGGTTCATCCATATTGTGGCATGTAGTAGTCCTCCATTCCTTTTTGTGGCTGAATAATATTCCGTTATATGGATGTATCACATTTAGTTTATCCATTAATTCACTGATGGACATTTGGGCTGTTTCCGTCTTCTGGCTCTTCTGAATAATAGTGCTGTAAACATTCTTGTACAGCTTTCTGTGTGGGCATAGGTTTTCATTTCTCTTGGACACATACCTAGGGGTAGAACTGCTGGGCTGTGTGGTAAGTCCCTGCTTAATTGTTCAAGGAACTGCCACACTGTCTTCCAAAGTGGCATCACCATTTCATATCCCCACTAACTTTGCCCGAGGGTTCTGATTTCTCCACGTTCTTGCCTGCATTTGTTGTATCTGACTGTTTGATTCTAGCCATCCTAGTGGGTGTGAAGTGGTGTCGCATCAAGATTTTGATTTGCATTTCTCTGGTGATGACTGATGTAGGTTATGTTTTCATGAGCCTTTTGGCCATTTGTGTTTATCTTCTTTGGAGAAATGTATATTTAGCTCCTTTGCTCATTTGAAAATTAATTTGTTTTTATTATTGAGTCATAAGAGTTCTTTATATATTCTAGATTAATTCCTATATAAGATATGTGATTTGCGAAGTTTTTTTTGCATTCTGTTGGTTTTCATTTATTGATAGTGGCCTTTGAAGCATAGTGTCATTTGAAGTTTTTAATTTTTAAAGTCCAGTTTATCCCATTTTCTTCTTTGATTCATGCTTTTGGTGACATTGTACTTTTATATGTGTGTAGGTATATATATGTACGTGTATATATGTATATTTCCCTACTTTTAGCAGAATCAAAGTAACAGGTTTCATTTGGTTGGTCATTGTTATAGAAAAAATAGTTAAAATAGTTATCATTAGATTTGAGGTCATACTACGTGATGGCTTTTTATTAACATTAAATCATGTGGCATTTGGTTGAAGATTCCAATCCTGATATAAAGTAAATGGAAAATGATATGTTTTAATTGAATTAAATAGCATAATGAGAAATCAAATCAATATTATTGATTTTAAAGCATTTTATTCAATAAAATTCTTTTTCCTTCCCCAAATTTACTTCATTAATGCTGCTCTGCCAGCGACATTCCCCTTTGCCATTAACCTCCAGACAACGCCACGCCGCATGGGTGCTAGATGAAGAAATCGGTGATTGACAACTGGCATTCGAGTGGCTTTTCACTGGCAGAAGGGCTTGAGCGCGACCTGTCATGTGTTAAGAATGTGCATGTTGTTAATTAGGGTACAGTTAGAAGAAGAATGGTGAGGCTGCTCGCTCCGGGGAGAGGGATGAAGCAGCCGTGTTTACACATTTGGCCTTCCGGTCGGGAGGTCCGGAGGGGAGCGCCCAGCCGCCCGACCTGTATCACGCGGTTCTGTTTCAGTCCAGTTCACAGGGCGGGAGTTCCCCGAGACATAATTTCAAAAGAGAGTGTCTCTGTTTAGAAAAAAAAATAGTATATCGAAATGTACCGGTAAAGAGCGTGGACACCTGGGAGATTGTTTTGCGAGCTGGTTGACAGGATCCCCTTTCCTGTCAAAGGTACCCGCCACGCCGTTGCTTCCGGAGCCAGCGGCACGGCCTGCTGTTCCCAGCGCCCGGTTGCGCGCTTCTTACGAGGGTGCGTGCGAGCAGATCCATCCCAGTGGGAGGGAGTCTCGTCGAGGCCAACTTTATGATATTCTTCACCCAGCGTGTCACTGGATGTTGACTTTTCGGTCACTGTATGTACATTTATATTCAAAGGTTTAATCCCATATTTCTTTTCTTCGCAGGTCATGAGTGCGAAGTGAGCCACCCTTGGCACAAGGAACATCATCAGCACTTTATTAACGATGGATACTGAGAAGAAACCAGAGAGTGACGAGGACGAGGATGTGAACAAAGACGTAAACATTTCTTCCCATGTGGTGGATTGTGGGCCTGTGTCTGATGTGACAGCAAAGTCCTCTGAGAATTCCACCAGCAAAAGAGGGTTTTCGGAATCCTCCAACTTTGACAGTGTCGTTTTGGAGGAAGAAGGAAATAAACATGCTTCCAAACGGATGAAATTAGCGGAGGCGGAGCCGTTATCCGCGGAGCAGGCGGTTCGTGGACTGCAGACTCCCAAGAGCACAGCTGCAGAAGTGGGCGTCCCACCGGGTGGGACAGTGACGGCGCCCTTCCTGAACGACTGCTCAGGCCGAGACACGTGTCTCCCCTCTGCCTTCTCCCCTCTCTGCAGTTTTAGCACTGTCGATGCTGTTTCTCTGAAAACAGACACTGGAAAAAAGCCTGCTCAGGAAATGGTTTCCCTTGACCCGGAAAGAGAATCTTCTTTTCCCATGAAAGAGATGAGTGTTAGTTGTACCATTGGAAACGCAGATTCAGTTCTCAAGTGCAACGTCTGTGGTCATTTGTGTTCTTCTTGCTCTGATTTGGAAAAGCATGCTGAATGTCATGTGCAACAGTCTAAGGAACATGCCTGCTGCCACTGCGGCCACAAAGCAGAGAGCAGTGTAGCGCTGCAGATGCATGTCACACAGACACACGGGCCACAGAAAGTCTTTTCTTGTGATCTCTGTGGCTTTCAGTGTGTGGAAGAAAACCTTTTGGATGCACACTGTCTTGGCAAAACACATCTCCGGCGTCAGAATCTTGCTGCTCGTGGAGGGTTTGTGCAGATCTTAACAAAAGAACCTTTTCCTAAGAAACCATGTACCATCGGAACAAAAAATGGTGGCTCCAAACCAAGAGCTTCCAAACCAATAGCAAAAAGTAGTGATCCAAAAGGACTGAGAAATGCTGGCAGCAAGTGTAAAGATTTCACAGGAAGCGTCTCTGAACAAAGTGGAAACGGCAGCGAGCTTCTTGTTGAAATGACGCCATCCAAGACTTCTTTGTCAGAAAAAGTAGACATCGTTGAAGAGAAGGTAGCTGCCGCTGGTCTAGCTGGAAATCCTGAAATCCAGAGTGAAAACGTAGGAGCTTTAGTAACCTCCGAGGGTCTCTTAGGTGAATTAGCGTCAACCAGAAATACCCTGCAGACGGCACATGGTACCAGTCCAACTTCGAGACCAAGACCTGAGCGAAATGTTCCCGTGTTGGGTAATAGCTTCCGGCGACGAATTAGCGCTTTCGCCTTAAAAGGCCAGGCAAAGAAAAGGTTTAATCTTTTAGGAATTAACAAAAGAGGTGCCAGTGAGACTCAGAGGGTCTATGTGAAACACTTCAGAACACAGCCGAAGACAGGCGATGCGGAGTCAGTGCCCAGACACGCAGACACGAGTGGCAGTGGCCGCACCCTGCGCTCGACTTCCTCAGAGACCCAGGCGCCGAAGCAGGACAAAAGAAACTCCCCTCTCGTGTGCTCCTTCGAGTCCCCAGCAGCGAGGGCAGCTTCTGACCGTCAGCTGCCCTGTCCTTGTACAGACTACGGTCAGATAGCTGCAGGTAGGACAGAGGTAGAAATCCACGTGAAGAGGTGCCATGCAAAAGAGGTGAAATTTCACTGCCAAAAATGTGACTTTTCTAGCAAGTCGAGGAGGGACTTGGATGAACATCTGCACAATAGCCAGCATCAGCAAACTGCCTCTGTCCTCAGTTGTCAGTGTTGCTCATTTATTTCCTTGAATCAGATAAATCTTAGAGACCACATGAAGGAAAAGCACAGGATGGGTTTTCTTTGCGCTCCTTGTAACCTGTTCTTCTTGTCTGAGAAAGACCTGGAGGTGCACAGAACAACTGAGAACCACGCTGGCTTTCCGGCTCCACCAAAGACTTCTCGATCATTTAACAATGATTTGGTTTTACAGACTTTACCTTTAAGTACTTTAGAATCAGAAAACACAAGAGATCCTCTGAGTGAGTCAGGAAGAGCAGCTCAGGAAGAACCAGCAAAATCCCGGGGAAGCCATGGGAATGAAGGAAGGCATTCAAGTAAGCCTCAGTTTCAGTGTAAGAAGTGTTTTTATAAAACGAGATCTTCCACTGTTCTCACGAGACACATAAAGCTCCGGCATGGCCAAGACTATCACTTTCTTTGTAAAGCTTGTAATCTTTATTCACTGAGCAAAGAAGGAATGGAGAAACACATTAAGAGAAGCAAGCACCTTGAAAATGCCAAGAAGAATAATATTGGCTTAAGCTTTGAAGAGTGTATCGAAAGGGTATGTATAGGTGCAAATGACAAAAAAGAAGATTTTAACATTTCCGGAAATGGAAGGATCGAAGGCCACTTGGAAGGTGTGCAGTTGCAGGAGCACACCTACCTTGAGAAGAGCATGCTCCCTACCAAGGAACTGTCGCAGTCTGGCATGATCACCAAAGACGATGGGTTAGCCCTGAGCGCCTCTCCTAAGAGAGGGAGACCCAAAGGCAGCGTCTCCCGGACATGTTCGCACTGTGGCCTTTTGGCCTCCAGCATTACAAATTTGACCGTTCACATCCGACGGAAGCACAGTCACCAGTACAGTTACTTATGCAAAGTGTGTAAGTATTATACTGTAACTAAGGGAGACATGGAACGTCATTGTGCCACCAAGAAACATAAAGGACGGGTAGAAATAGAAGCAAATGGAAAACAAAGTTCAGATATCATCGTTGGCCCCGAAGGGGGTAGCCTTGCCGCCCGTAGAAGACACAGCAACTCTGCAGTTTCAGATGAGCCTGCCCACACGTCAGCCGGATCGGGGCCCTCCCTTCCAGAAAAGCCAGGGGAGGAGCTTGGGAATCCAGTCGAAGTTGAAGCTGAAGGTGTATTTCATTCTGTGGATGGGGAAGCTGAGAGTCACCTCACCGATAAGAAGGAGCAAGTGTCTCTAGCAGCAGAGGACCTGATGCAACAGGGGGGTGCCTGTTCCCAGCGAGATGCCGTGGGTGACAGCAAGTGCACTCACTGCGAGTTCACTGCTCGCTCTTCTGCGTCTCTAGAACTGCACGTAAAACGGAAACATACCAAAGAGTTTGCGTTCTATTGCATGGCCTGTGACTACTATGCCGTGACCCATCGAGAGATGACGCGGCATGCAGCCACAGAAAAGCACAAGATGAAGAGGCAGTCTTTCCTGAGCTCTTCGAACGTGGGGGCCAGTTCTGCAGAAATGTCCCAAACCAGCACCGTTCCTGAGGAGCAGCGTCCAGAAAATTCTGAAGCGTTTCAACTAACTTCACACCAACCACTGGAAGCTCTTAAATGCAGAAATACTGCCGATTGTCCAATTTTAGATGCAAATACCAATTTGGACATGTCAAAAGTACTCTGTGCCCCTGACACTGTGGAAGTTGAGACTGAAGAAGGGTCTCATCTCGGCGAAGGCCCTTCCTTCTGTGACACCTTCCAGCAGCCCCTCGCCAAGGATGGAGTTAGGAAACCCGAGGAAGCGCTGTCCCTTAACATTCCCTCTAGTTATGGCTCCCCAAGCAAATTCCAGAATGAAAATTCGAGAAGTTCCGCTTTGAGTTATGAGACAGCAAAGACAAACCACGATAGGCTGAGTGACATTGGTGACGCAGACACACGTGAGAGCCTGGGACGACGTGCAGGAGGACGTGCAGGCGAAGCCCTCAGCAAGCAGGTCGCTCCTGGAGCTCCTGGCGGAACGGGTTCGGCGGAGAGCTCCGTCCCTGTCGTGACGAGAGTGGCAGGAGGACAGCTCAGCCTGGATGGCGGGGGTCAGGGCGGAGCTGGCAGTGTGCAGAGTTCAGGGCGTTTGAAGGATGTGCGGGAAGACCCAGTTCTGGAGAGCAAGGAAATTGTCATGAATTCGCAGCACGAAACTGAAATTATTTTGGAAGAGGATGGTCTGGCTTCCGATAGCACAATTGAGGGGAACGACGTTTATGAAACTATAATCAGTATTGATGATAAAGGACAGGCTGTGTACAGTTTTGGCCGGTTTGATTCTTCTATAATAAGAATCAAGAACCCGGAAGACGGTGAATCGCTAGAGCAGTGTGAAGAGGGCCTGGTGACAGCGGGGGCGAACATGGGCGAGTCGCCCCTAAAGGACTGTGCTCAGGGCGTGAGAAAGAAGAAGTCCGACGGCGGCTCCTTTGGCGAGTCCACCCGGATCCGTTGCGACGACTGTGGCTTCTTGGCAGACGGGTTGAGCGGCCTGAACGTTCACATCGCCATGAAGCACCCGACCAAGGAGAAGCACTTCCACTGCCTGCTGTGCGGCAAGTCCTTCTACACCGAGAGCAACCTGCACCAGCACCTGGCCAGCGCCGGCCACGTGAGGAACGAGCAGGCCAGCGTGGAGGAGCTCCCGGAGGGCGGCGCCACCTTCAAGTGCGTCAAGTGCACCGAGCCCTTCGACTCGGAGCAGAACTTGTTCCTGCACATCAAAGGGCAGCACGAAGAGCTGCTGCGGGAGGTGAACAAGTACATCGTGGAGGACACCGAGCAGATCAACCGCGAGAGGGAGGAGAACCAGGGGAACGTGTGCCGGTACTGCGGGAAGATGTGCCGCAGCAGCAACTCCATGGCCTTCCTGGCACACATCCGCACTCACACAGGTACGTCGCCGCGCGGGTGCGTGCTGGCCGCGGACGCTGCTCTCTGCCGCGTCCGTGCCGCGCTGGCTCGTCCGCCCTCCCGCTGGCCCACGTGGCGCTGCCCGCACGGCCGGCGCCCAGTGCTGGCATTGCCTTTCCCGCGGCCGTTAGGCCGCGCCGATCCCAGCGGCAGGTCCTTGGCAGACTCCGTAATGTGATGGAAAAGCCTAGTCCACTTTTGTCAAATTCCTCTCAGCTCTTCAGCTGTTTCTAAGTCCTGACTGTTTGGTTTTCCAGGGAATCTGTTAAGTGGCACTTGGGTTTCAGAGGACATATTAAGTGGCTTTGAGGAATGGGATAATACAAATTTTCCTACAGTTTTAGGGATTTAAAAATATTCATTGCCAGATAGTTTATATCCAGAAGTGTAACTCCCAGCCGACCGGATTCCACTTTCGAGAATCGAAATTAGTCAGCGCCTTTCAGAGTCAGTGTGTCCTGGGGATTTGGTTTTTGCGGAGTTAGCACCTGATTTAGTTTCTGTGCTCTGTCACATATAGTGTTCCATTTTAGTGTTTAATTTTAGGTAGGAATTTTTTTAAGAAAACTTTTTTTTGGTGGAAAATGCATAAGCCACTGTTCTAAATTTATGTAAAAATTCACTGCACTGTTTCTATAAACCTGCCATACATTCTTTATTTTAAATAGACAGCTTTTCTAAATCATTGTGCTCTGCTTAGACAAGTTCTGTCTCCATGGTTGAATTTATGAGTGGATTTGAATAATAAATTCACATTTCAATGAACATATTTTCATTAAAACTGTAAGGTTTATTTTACTGTACTTTTAAATAATGGCTTATTATTAAAGCTATACTTTAAATTCATGCAGTTTTTGAAACTTTGAGCATCGTTACAAGGAGGAAGACAAAAGGGTATGAAACATTATTAATAGTTTAGGGTGGTTAAAGATAGGTAAAAGTTTTTCATGGAAGAGAGTAACAGGGCAACGTGCATTAGACTAATCTACGTAAATAGAAACATTGTACCCCTGACCCCAGCTCTTCCCGATGTGGTAGGTCGCGTAGCGCCGTCGATGGGGAGGAAGCCCAAAAGCTTGTTCACCGGCGGCGTCAGCGCCTCTGCTGGTGCTGTGCTGCAGCTCACTTTCTGAGGTGACACGGTTTTAGAAATCAGGCTTGTTCGCATGCGCGGAAAATATGTACTTTCTTAATATGCCCTCTTAAGGCAGACAAAACTGAATAAAAGTAAGAGGAAGATGCTAATGGAGCTCTTTTTAGAATTCTTTATGCAACTGTCTGGTCAAGACATGTTGCTTATAATTGATGTGTCCATTACTTGAATTCTCTTGTAATTATAGTCAATAAGTCTTGTAAATGTGTTAAAGCTCACTAAAAGCATACAAATTCAAGAACAGAGTAAGGCTAATAATTTAAAATAATCAATGTAGGCATTTCAGCACTTAATTTCCCTTGTGTGTTGATAGCTGATCATTCTTAATCCATTAAGATTTATTTAGTCGTTTACAATGCAAAATAGGTTTGCACTGGTCACTTGTGCCATTTGAAAATGCCCACCAGGTTAAGTGCAGAATGTAGTCCATTAGTCTTCCTTGACTATATGTATTAATTGCATTTAAAATCAAGTTAATGTGGATGTGAAAGTGAGGTAACTATCAATATGTGACAGAGTAACCCTACTTATATAAGTTACATCATTGATTGTAACATTTAGTAAAAGTTAGCATACTTTTTAACATTTCGTGTCGGAGGCAGGGGCGGGCGGGCGGGGGGGACTTATCAGCAAGTGCATTTTTATTGTGTCCTGAAGCACCACAGAGAGAGCACCGTTCCCGAGGACACACTGCCAGTCTGCCCTTTCCATTCTGCAAGTCGCTTTTGGGGCGAAGTTACTCTCCAGGTTTTCACTCCAAGTTTTTTTCTTGGCGCATCTTAAAATGAATTGCTTTTCTGAGACTTTGCTTATGTCGATGAAATAGTAACGCAGGGCCGTTATTAATGGTTGACGGGAAAAGGGCTTACTCTTCCAATCCCTGTTTTCATATTTGGTGATTTACTATATGTTTTATGTGACCTTTCTTCCCATCGTTAGCACGATAAAAGCAGCAGTGTGAGAAACAAATGAGTTTTGGTTATCAAGAGTTGTAGGAAAAAGGCATCCCAGAGTTTCCCTGTGTGTTTGCTGGTGTGAAGCCATCGGCATGACCAGAAAGAGCAGCGTCTCCTTTCCCGTTGCAGAAAAAGCTGTTCTTTCCCCGCTGCGTTACTCTGTGAGAGCTTTAATGTCATGTAACGTGGCAGGGGCCGTCAAGCTAGAAGACCGAAGCCCCTCATTTCATGTTCAGGGTGCACTGGTCACTTGTGCCGTTTGCAAACGTTCGCATGTGGGGAGATGGGGAGTCGTGTGACTTCACCGACAAATTCCCAAGTCAGGACTGGTAGCGTTCGGAACTTATCACGTGACAGTGCAGACGCCGAGCCGAGCCGAGCCAGCGTGCGGAGGGTCGGTTGGGAGAGGCTGTCTCTCGACGTAAGCGGAGCGAGAGCCTGGCCATCACTCTGTGCGCCGCCTCGTCTCCATGCCCTGCGCGGAGTTGGCGCTCAGCGTTAGTCGCTGAATGAATGAATAAGTGAAGGAACAGATGAATGAATGAATGAAGTGTTCAGTGTTGGATCGTGGAATTCAGGCTTTGGTGAGAGGCTTTAGGTGGCGGGTTGTATGCCTCTTATCGTTTCTTTAAGACCTAAAGTTTTCTTAGCGGTTTTAAATGTTAACGTCACACCCATGTTTGCATGACAATCGAGGAGCCCAGGGGAGGCCTGGTCCTTAAAGACCTTGGAGTCCTGCTGCTGGTGGCCCAGGCGTCAGGAGGCCCTCAGAAGGCCCGTCAGGAGGCCCGAGAGCCTCTTTCCTTTCTTCCCTTTCCAAATACCTCGGAGGCCGCGTTAGAAGGAAAAAAACCTGCCGCGGATGCTGTCCCAACGAACGGGACTCCTTCAAGTAATAGTGACAGTTTATAACGATCACCACACACCTGAAAGAAAGATGAATTTAGAAATATGTGGTTTTACAAAATTTGCCTTGCAAACACTTGCCTGGATTCATTTTGGGATGTGCAGAGCAAGCTTAAAAATGGAAACATTACCAGTTAGGAAAAAAGGGACATATGTTTTTTCTTATACAGAAAAGTATTACCTCCAGTCCCCCAGTATGTGAATTTTTATGGCACAGAAAGGAGATGTTAACACAGTCTACTCTGAATATGAGAGATGAAAAACGGTCAGGGCCTCAGTGATTTCTGCGTGAAAGTAGTCCACAGAATAACTCATTTATGCGTTGTCAACACACTAGCCGTGATCGTCAAAACCCGAGGAGCCCGTGTTTCACCGAGGAGCCGTGCACAGTAAATTGAAAACACTAAAGGTCTGTGTCTGGCCCCCGGTGGCCGTGTGCTCACACAGGAGGAGCTCACCCCAATGTCAGAGCAGTGTGAGCAAGATGAAATCGTAAACCCACAAGATATGGATTAAAAAGCTTTTCACCCGTCTGTAATACGGATGTTCAGGAGCTTTATCTTTGGAGTCCTGGTGTTATTGTTAATGAATAATTTCCTAATTACCTTATTATCTTTAATGCATTTTAATGTAAAGTACAGGTAAATTGGTTCTTCTCACTCTTGTCTTTTATAAGTCTCTTTGTGGAGTTCTGTGTAGAGATGAAGTGTTTCAAAGTAGTGATAGGCTTAGTTTTATCAGAATCATTTAAATAAACTGTAGTTCCTAATGTGATTGATAGAATGTGATTGCTGTAAGCTGCAATCTCAACCTGCTTTTGACATTTAAACATATAAAGCTGACTAGATATAACCATTCAGGTGCTAAATATATTTTACATCTACTTCTAACAGTAGAAATGGAAGTATTAAGAGATCTGGCCTCATTGTCATTGAACTGTGAAATATTCAACCTTGTCTGCCTGTGCTTAGTACTGTTGACTTTTTTATTTCTGTTCGAAGATTAAAATTAAATGCTTCACTTTTTTTGTCAGCTTTTGGGAATTAAATTGAAATTTAAGACTCTAAAATTTTTTACTGAGTGCTTCAATTTCAACAAAGTATTCTTGGAGGATTTTTTTTTTTCAAGGGCACTGCACAAAGGTTCATTGATCAAATATGATTTATTGCAGTTTTTTTATTCAAGCTCTTTTTGTATATTTATTAAAGTTCACATATTTCATATTCTGTCTAACCATGTGAGAAGAGGTATTTCACCAAATAGATGCCAAACGTGATATGAAAATCTGGAAATATATTGTACTGATTTTAAACTGATTTTTATGATTTTGGCTTATTTGCGATTTAGTGGTTAGAAAATCAGAAAATGGTGTAATTATATATACGTGTTGCACCTTAAAGAGTGTTGCTTCTCATTAATGTGGGTACTGATTACCTGTTAGCAATTGTTCCAGTTCCAGCCTCTCTGTTACTGACACTAAGTTTGTCCACTCTGAAATAATTGTTTTCTCATTGAATACGGATTAATCTTATTTCTTTATGAAAGAAAAACAAATGCTTTTTATGTTGAAATATTTGTTCTTGAAATCAATAATGACCAAATGTCAGTACTTCTGGTTTGCAAAACCATCATAGATTTTTGACTGTAAAATGATCATAAACACAATTTGTCTACTGTATATTCTTACATTGTATGCTATTAAAATGGTGACGTAGTGAATCATTTGGGATGAGCGTCAGAAAAAAATCCCTAAAATACTATTATTAATGTGAATAAATTCAAAGCTGCGGTAACGGGAGGAAACGAGGAGGTGGCCTCCAAGGCGTTTGTTTGATTATTAAGATGGCAAAAAAACATCAGCTACTTCATTTGCGTTTCTGTTTTTAAAATGTCCCATTGTAAATGTCGAGTGACTTTAAAAGATAGCTTTGTGAATTGTAAGGAGAATTTTAAAAATTGTTTAGCTCATCTCATCTACGTAGTACTCCTCAGCTGTTTCCCTTTTGACTTTAAATCTTAGAAACGTTATTGAGAGTCAGGAACCGTCACTGAAACATCAGAGCCTTCTTGGTGGAGTAATTATGGAATGCAGATCTTTTCAAGTTAGAAAGGAGTGCATGTATTCCATTTTGGGGCTAGAAATCTGTAATTAGATTCAAAGTATGATTTAAGATTTGAGCCTCTTTTTAAACTATCAGTAATGTATTATTCAAATTCAAATTCTATTTTATGTTCAATTTACTTAGGATCAAAACCATTCAAGTGCAAGATATGCCATTTTGCAACGGCTCAGCTTGGCGACGCCAGGAACCATGTGAAAAGGCACCTTGGGATGCGGGAGTACAAGTGTCACGTCTGTGGGTGAGTGGGGTACAAGTGTCGCGTCTGTGGGTGAGTGGGTCGACACCGGCTCGGCCGCGGTGAGCCAGGGCGCCTGTGCGGGGCGGCCGTTGTTTCAGAATTCAC